GAATAGCTAGAGCAAAGCCCTCGAGAGAGTTCATTTGTGAGAGAGTGAGATCTGTCAAAGTGGGATCTAAGTATGAGAACGAGATAAATAGACCTCTATATAGATAACCAAGTATGTTCACGGTGACCTTTTTTTTTAAAGTAAAACATGGAAACACGGCTCGCCGTTATGTGCACTAAAAGGTTGCATTTCTTAAAACGTTATTTTATGAATGCAGTTATAACCCCCATTTCTTGTAGTGAGTTGATTCTGACAGACCTTTCCCCAAGACTTAATTTCTGTTTGCTTCAATGAAAAATACAGTTAAACTGCATCATTCTCAACAATAATCTCACTCGGTCACTAGTACACACAAACAAAAATATTATTATCAAGAGATATCAAATACGTGTTGAGATTCCCTTAATTAAATGACCATTACATCATTCATTGATTGTAAAAATTTGTTTCAATAAGTGTAATAACCTTTTTCTTATTTTAAAATAATGATATAATATATGATTATTGTATATGCATTCGATAATGGAGAGGAGATTTGAGTTTGACACGGCATTAAAAATACTATTGGATTGCGTTAAAAAAAAATTATTAAATACATTTATCTATTGGGATTACAACTATGTTAACTATAACTAGACTCACTTTGCACACATTAGAAACAATTTGCAGAATATGACAAGGGTGGCATGGCTTCCATATTGGGGATGTATTATATTAGGTTTTTGTTATTGGCAATCCCATTTGACAAAACTCCTTTTAGTTGTAATTTTATTCGTTCTTTTATTTCAGTGAGGCTATGAGTATTTAGATGCGAATCCAACCCGAATTGTGCCTAAGTAGAGGAGTTTGTGATCTTAATCATATCATGTTTGCCATTTCGCTAATTACGTGGAGGATCGAAGTTGCATGACAGCGCGAACGGCCATTTGTGCGCTCAAGTGAAGAATCTTTGGTTCTAGCAGTTTGAACTATTTGCAAAAGTACTGGGAGTTGTATTTTTGCGCTCGAGCGTACATCCGTGTTTTGAAACATGCATTTTAATCAAATTGCTCGAGCAGTCATTCCTGCGTTCGAGCGGAGATCGCGATTCTATTTTCTATAAATCTGTGATTAATTTAGTTTCTAGGGTACGACTTCCAGATCTTCTTCTTGGGTATTAGGGTTTTCATTTGGAGCTTCTTTGCTTGTTTCCTTTGATTTCAATGAGAGTTTATATCATGAATTGAGTGGATCATATCAAAGGGGTTTGTTTGTTTTGTTTTATTCACAAAAGAGAGAGTTGTTCTTCGGTGGATTCTAGGAAATTTGGGCCTGAAGCTTTGGTGGATTCTGGAGTGGCTCATTATCATGATTTGACATCGGCGTTGTGGATTCAACGTTGGACAAGACAATTCCAAGGTGAAGACGGTGTTGGAGGAGACACATTGGGGTCGGTTCAATTCGGGCATGAATTCGTTAGATAATTGAGAGTATACTTGTGTAATTTCTTTTTGTCTTCTTAGTAGATTGTTTTGTGGCTTTGGCTCGTGGTTTTTTTTTTATCACAATTAGAGACTCTCCAATTGTAGTTTTTCCACGTTAAATCGTTGTGCTGTTTAGTCTTTGATTGGTTGATTGGGATATTATTTATTGATTAAAATTGACACATAATCACAAATCAATATCTCCGAGTTTTTAGATTTTTCGTATTCAACTTTAGAATTCTTTGACTAGAGATTTTAACAGATAAGAGACCAAAATGACAATATGTTTAAAGATCATCTAAATTTTTATAACTTCATTCAAAATGCTTTGACTGATTGAGTGATGGAGATTGCAGATCTCTCCATCCTATTAGAGCATAACGCAAGAAGTTGGATTAAAGACGGCATGGTTTCTATTTTGAGAATTGGGGTTGCATGTTCAATTGAATTGCCAAGAGATCGAATGGAAATGGGAAGTGTTATTCGCGAATTGTGTTAGATTAAAAATACTTACATGAATGAAGGGTTGAACCAAGACTAGGAAATTGAAAGAGATTTTGCAACATGAAAGCTAAAGGTTTGTATCATACCCTCTTGAGCTATGCAAATATGTATACCAAAATGAAAAATATTATATATAAATGAATTTCTTACTTGATTTTTTTATTACTAAATACGAAGAAGAAAACAATCCAAAGAAGAAAAAGCAAAAAAATCATAGCAATGTTTGTTTATCCCCTAATCTTGGTTTAACACCGATAAAACAATCATTTTACGAATAACAAAAGTTATTGGGATAAATTATGCAAATGGTCCCTGTAATTTACATGAGGTGTCAATTTGATTCATGTTGTTTCAATTTGCTCGATTTTGTTCCTTAATTTAACAGATTGTGTCATTTTAGTCTAATAAATAACGATTGTTAAGTTTGGTGGACGGAAAGTCTATACAATGTGTTAATTTGATCCCTATTGTTCTAATTTGTTTGATTTTGATAGGGACCAAATTGACATATTATGTAAACTACAGGGACCAAATTGACACATAGTTTGACTTTCCGTCTACCAAATTTAACAAACATTGTTTATTGGATTAAAATGACACAATTCGTTAAATTAAGGGCAAAATCGAGCAAATTGAAACAACATAAACCAAATTGACTAATCATGTAAACTACATGAACTATTTGTGTCATTGAACCAGATCTCTGAAATTGCAACGAAGAGTGTACGCGAGTGATATGTAGTCATATATATGTAAATATACATACAATACTCCAATCAAGTTTTCCTCTTTCTTTTTATCGTATTCGGAAACCCCCCGTTTATTGACACACATGAATTGTTGATTTTATTTGTTGAGTTTGATCTGCTATATTTGAAATTTTGGATTATCGTTTCAGAATTCTTGTGCAGTTGAAATTTGTGTTTGGTGATTGTTATCTAATTTATCTATCTAAAGAGGATTAGATGATGACAAAGAAGACGACTTGATTCAGATTACAAAGAACAGACTATCATGAAGAGAGAGAGAGAGAGAGAGAGAGAGAGAGAGAGAAGGATGTGAGAGAGTTAACGGAGTTAGGAATTAGTTTTAGTGATGGACACACACCTGGCACGTGTAATTGTTCATATTTTAAAATGAATAACTTTCACACGAGTCTTTTAGTGTTATTGTATATATAGGCAAGAAACATTTTATTTAAAATAAAAGTTTGGGGATTATGTTAGCAAATTTTGTCTTATTGTAAACGATATGTGATAATAGAAGTCTAATTCATCCCATTACACTTTTAGGGATGAAATAAATTTGTCTTTAAAAAGCTAATTCGTTGTAGTGGTAAAAATGTTTTGATGAGAAACTCGTTTATGTATAATATTACTTTACTAAAATATATTTTTCTATCTTTTTAAGAATCTTAATTTCATTTTCTCATTTTCTTTTCTTTTCGATCGGCTCTCATTTGAACTATGCTTGCGTTTGGCATTTCAATCTTCGACTAAAATAGTCATAAAATGATAAAATAGACTAAAAAGCCAATAAGACAAAATGTCATATCCAAACCATAATTATTTTATTTTTTCTTTCACAAAAGTCCGAAAAACTAAAAAGTTAATCACAAACGAAACTTTTTAACCCAGGCTAAAATAGCCAAAAAGCCAAAAAAACCATTGCTGATCAAGGTTACTTCCAATTTCCTCCAAGTTGTGGCGTCATGTTACTTATGGTTGCCTCATCGATGGAGTGCTCATGATCGTTCAACATCTTCATTAACGACGTTTAATCTATTGCTTACATAAAAAACTGTCACTTCTCCTTTGCTTTGATTATATTATGCCTTTGTTTGGGATGTGGGTTGACTTTTTGACTATTTTAGCATGGGACTAAAAAGTCTTGTTTGAGATAAATTTTTTGACTATTTTGAGAGAAAAAATGAAATAATTATAGTTTGGACGTGATGTTTTGTCTTATTAGACTAAAAAGGCTATTGTGTCTTTTTATGACTATTTTAATCCAAACATAGCATGCCAAACAAAGCCTATATATCAACAATGTGAGATGTTCCAACTAAGATTGTGCGGTGGTTGGAGAATATACCATTGTGACACTTTTGTATCTACTAACCTCCTAATATTTTGTTGGCAGTCCTTATTTAAGATTTTATTATGAGTATATATGGTGTGCCAAAATATTTGTGAAAGCAATAGCATTAGACTTGTCTAAGCCTGGTCTAAATACTTCAAAGGTTACTACACTATTCATTATCAATTAATTTTGAGTTAGATGTTTTAACATAGTGTTAGCAAAAATCTGGTTTGGGTGTGATATTGTCAAACAACAAACAAACCAATTTTCACAACAGGATCAAGCAATGTGGTTGAGTGTCTCAATGCCTTGACAGATTCAAGGGCTTTTTTGGAGGTTGTAATGTGAAGAAATAAAACAAATATAATTGGAAATTGACTGAAAACAATAAAACTTGTCACTTTAACCACAAGGATCAAATTCCAAGCCTTTTAGTACTACAATCGACAGAACTTTGAACAAACGCTAACTGCTACTATTGCTGTTACTCCTAGTTACAGGTTCCGCTACTCCTAATAGACTATATTACTCCTAAACTTCTTAAGGTGTGAATTGATTTTCTTGCACTCTCTTTCACCCTGGAACTCCAGCTTTTATGCCACTAGTTATGTTGTTCACATGTTGCCATGTGTTCCACCATGAAGTAGGTTACTTCCACTTTCTGAATAACTACCCATCATTGACAACAACCTAATCGGAAACATCCCAGCTGGGTTGGGCTCTTTGTCCAGGCTTGGAACTTTAGCCCTTGCTAAAAACAAGCTTTCAGGAACCATCCCTCCTTTCATTGGAAACCTCTCATCTCTTTTCCAAATCGGTATATCGTAATGTAATTTGCATGGGGAGATTCCTGCAAAAATTGCTTGGCTTCGAGGCCTGAGATATGTCCGGTTATTTGAGAATAATCTATCTGGCAAGGTTTCATCTGAACTTTACAACATCTCTACCATCATGTTGTTATCATTAGCCGATAACCAACTTGAAGGAAATATTCCTCATGATATAGGCTCCACACTTCCTAATCTTAAGTTCATTTCTTGTACGAACAATTTGTTTACTGGAATAATTCCTACTTCATTTTCAAACGCTTCAGAACTTCAAGTGATAGGCCTCTCTGCAAATTATTTCAACAGGACGATGCTGAAAGATCTTGGAAAACTTTCGGGTCTTATAGAGATAAGTGTTTATCAAAATCGGTTGCAGGATGACCTCACTTTTATTTCGTCTCTAACAAATTGCACCAGTTTACAGTTTCTTGAAGTGGGTAAGAATCTTTTTAGAGGTTCATTATTAGACTCCATAGCTAATCTCTCCACATATCTTAGCGTGTTAAATTTGCATATATGTCAAATAGATGGAATCATTCTATCTGGCATTGGGAACCTCCTCAACCTGTAACGCCCTCAAAAAATAACCCATTGTATATCATTGACATGCATTATTTAAAGAAGACAATATATCAATCCATTCATCAGAGTATTACTAAATAAAGCATTACATGTAACATCGAATAAAATGCCCTACAGGCTTACATCTTTCCAAGCCAACACTTGGATTCAAAAATATGAGTTCTAATCTCAATACAAGAAAAGCCCTAGGCTTGAATGTTTACATGTACTAATAAATAAAAACTATTAACTAAAGGTAGTCTTCTTCAAACCAGTTGCCAAACCCTCCCAAGCTAAGTCCTTGGAGGTAGTTTATCGCCTGAACCTGAAAATGATGTTCCCATAAAGGGTGAGCCACAGCCCAGTAGAAATATACTAAACCACATATAAGCAATGAATAAAGCAATAGCATTCAACAGATGGTCAACCAAAATAATCAATTACTTCATTTTACAGTCTCACGACACTATTGCCAAAGATACGTTTTACTTTCCAATTTAATCAACATGGTTCAGAACCTGGCCAAACTTATAACAGTGAATCACATATATCATATTCACATCCTTCCAATATCAACAAACAAATGAGACTCAAGCTCAAATCAAACACTTCATACTTCCAGATTCATCATTGATAATTTCTAGCGTTACAGAAAAGAATAAACGAGTAGCTTTGATTCTCTCATAAAAAATAAAAAATAAAAATTAAACAAATTTGACTTGTTTTTAAGTTGAGACTTTTAAATTTTATTTTAGGATGGGGTGTGGTCTTGTGTGGGTTTGCGAAGCCAAGCCAAGTTAATACACCTACATCAATGTTTATGTGTGGATGTGTGGGGGGTTTGTGAAGCCAATTTTTATCTTGCGGTTTCATTGGTTTTTCTTGATGGGTTAGGTTTATATTCAGTTCACACCGTAGGGAATTATTGAGTTTTGTGGGGTTTATCATGGATTTATTTTAAAATTTTGAATTGTTTATTTTTTTATCACTGCATGTCGAGGTAGGTCTGTCAACTTTATTTTTTTTGATCACTGCATGTCGAGGTGAGATTGTGTGTATCCTGACTAATTTTAGAGTCTTAAAATTAACAATTAAACAAACTTTTAGTAACTTGTTAGAATGACTCAAACTTGACCTTAATATTTTGTTTTTAATTAGGAGATTTGAGAAGGGATTCGAAAAAGAAAAGTAAAAAAAGTATGTGAATTAGATAAAATATAGGTATATTTTATTCATATTTCACCTATCTTTTCATTTTTTTTTTTTAAATCTCTTCCTAAATCCCCCAACTAAGCACAGTGTAAATCTTATTTTCAAATCTTTATTGATCGATCAACCCGTAGGAAGTCTGTTAACATGGCTTTACAAACCCACACCCCCACACATGCACACACAAACGCTCGGATGGTTCATTAAAATTTATGTTTACACGCAATCAAACCAAAGAAATGTAGAAAGCAAGCATTATTAGTTTTCGGTCTATAAATATCCTCCTATATGTTGAGAAGCACACGCATCACAACACACCAAATACACAATTCAGAGAGAGAGAGAGAGATGGAAAATAAGGGCAAGGGGAAGATTGGAGAGGGTTCTGGAACTAAGAAAGGGCCAGCTACCGTGATTCCGGCACCAAAGAGGACGGTGAAGGAGATGATGTCCAAAACTGCAGTTTCCTTCTTTAAGAACAACAATGATAAGAAGAAGGATAAGAGGATAAGTCCTGTTGTTGGTCATGCAGCTGACTCTGCATGATCCAACAATACCCCTTTATACTGTCATTGTGTGATATGTATGAGTAAAAATTATGTAGCCAATCACTCTCTTGATAAGAGATATCTAATGTCAGTATCAGTGGTTGGTTGGTTAGTTTATTTGTCTCTACTACCTTATGTATCTTTGTTTCCTATATATGATATAGATCAATGAAAATTCTAATATGGTTTTCTAAATCATTCAGTTTGTATCTAAAGCAGTGGTGATGTAGGCAATTACAAGGTTGTGTTACCATGTGCCGAGCAAGCACCACCTTGTTCACTTATACCCATCTCCATCGCCATTTCTCTCTCACCAAAGCCTTGTCGGAAAACTTACTCGCATCCTTGGTCCATGTTAGACTTGTCACACACGGTTTCACTAAGCCATCCAAATTTAATTAATATACTGCAAAAGTCCCTCCACTAATTGGTAATTAGTCTTGAATTTGATATTTTAACACTTTGTTGGAGAGTCTTGGGTCGTGTTGCATATACCCCAATGTTAGACTTATCTCATATGGTCTTTATAACTCACTCAAATTTGATATTTTAGAAACCCTCCAAATTACTAGACTGCTTGAGCTTGATTAATATATTTTAAAAACTCTTTGAAACTGCCTGATTTCCCATACCTTTACCTACAAGAGGTGGGATATTATCGTCCTATTTTGAATGAATCATAGTTATTAAATC